AGAAGAGGAGCGACTAAGTAAGTAAGTAAGCATTTAGATAAGAGTTTTTAACATTTAGATGGTAGATGTTTTTCTAGATGTTTTTCATTTGAAGTGACTTTATCAAACCTAACCTAAGAAACAGGATGAAATTTGACCTCTTAAATGCTATCTTGACAAAAAAATTTGGCCTCATAAGAGTAGGAAAAGGCTGTTCCACTTATCGGCTCCCTGATTTGGTATTTAAAGAAATTTGAACAGCTAAAGCATACCAGAGTAATTTTGGATCTGAAGCTTCAACTTCATCATCCAAGCTAAGTTTATCTTGTGGATCTTGTAAGGCAGACAGACTTCAGTAAAGATGAGGACATGATTCTATAGGGTAAGTCATAACTGCTATGTAATTTGTGACTTTCCATTTGGATGTTTTTCTAGATGTTTTCCACACAAATTTAGATGTATTTAGATATTTTTGACTCCATTTTGGATGTTTTTTGTCAAAGAAAAGTGGCAACACAGTTAACAGATTCCATGAGATTTGCTCTTGTCCGATTCCCATCCTTCAAGTGTTCAGTAATCCTTGTATGGACGGATGACCTGATTTAACTTCCACCAAACAGAACTGACCATTGCCATTTTTCACTTACACACAGGACATTGCAAACTCAACAAACACTCAGAAATTAGTTATAGGCCAAACAACCTTCAGCCAGTGTTTTTGTGCTGAAAAGACCCCCAGAACAGGTCTTGCATGACTCCTCTCCTGGAGGGGCTGGAAAACAACATGTGGCCACACCCAGCAGACATGACAACTAGATGGCTATCCTCTGACTAACGGTTGGCAAAGATGGCGGTCGCAAAATTTCAGTCGAGCCGCAGTCACGTGTCAATTCCGCACTTCCGGCTATTTAATTTGCGATCTTCCTGCGGTTCTGCGCCAACAACCGCTACCGCCACGTGGCCTCCGCGCGGCATGGATTGGGGCTAAACTAGATGGCTAGGACTCACAAGCAGCAGCTTCCGCATCTCCTGCAGCCTTGCTCGTGAGTCCTAGCCATCTAGTTTAGCCCCAATCCATGCAGCGTGAGGGCCACGTGGCGGTAGCCATAGTCACCAGAAAAGCACATATTAAGTAGCCGGAATGGCGGAATTGACACGTGACTGCGGCTCGACTGGATATTTTGCGGCCGCCATCTTTGCTGAAAGTTAGTCAGAGGATAGCCCAACTAGGCTTTGGGCGAATCTGAGAGACCTCGAACTAACATCCCCGTTTTATGGCTCACAGTGGATTAAGCGTTTGACCAGAGATCATACCACAGCCAGTAGACCTGACAAGTGGGATTTGGGAGAATCAGAGACCTCGAGATGACATCCCAGTTAATGACCCATGGTGGATTAAGCGCACTATCATCACAGACCAAGAAGACCTTGACTTAGCCTCATAAAATGAGGAAATATGCTTTAACACCACTACATTAATTACTAGTCTGTCAAAACCATATGGACCTGGCATCATTTGATACATACATTAGATCACCTAAAATAAAGTGGTAGGTAAAAGTAATTTTTAAAAAAATGAAGGAACATTTGTTTCAAGGTCATCATGAAAACATGAAAAGGACTTTGATAGCATTCTATCTAGGGAATCTAGAATTGCTTGAGGGTTTTTCACCATCATCATCAGTCCCATAACAGCACATGTCCTTGGGTCACCAGTCGCTGTCTGATCAGTAACCTCCACCACTGTCAGTCGGATGCAATAGTCATGATCTTAAGGCGTGTCTGTCTACTCCGCCAAATTCTGTATCCCAGTCTTTGCGGTCTGTCTCTTCTCACTCTATCGTAGCATCATTTTAACCTCTACAGTGTGATTAAGGAAAAACGAGGCAGATAAATGTCAAAGGAAACCTGGCTGCTGATCAATGATTACAAACAGTATATACTAAGTCAACAAGTTTAAACTGCAACAAAGAGCATCTAGTTACATTAAATTCATCTATATCCATATGCTGCGAAGGGTGAAGGGGTGTCAAAACATGAAGTGATACAAGCAGTTGCAGATCGCAGACTGTGTAGAGAAATAAAAACCAACGCCAATTAGCAAGGCACATGATGAGAAATATGTAATGTTTGTATTTCTCATTTCCCTTACTTATAAATACATGGATAGCACACTGGGTAGACTGATTTACTGAAACACCCTCAAATAAACGGAAGAGATCACAACCACTGTAGCATATATATATATATATATATATCCACACACACACATACATAGACACTTACTGTATGCTTTACGGGGTTTCTTCTTTAAACAGGTCATGACATACTCTTCTAATTCACGAAGTGTAGAAGGTTTGAGAGTTTCAAAATCAATCTCAATCTCATCTGGATTTGAATCTCTTAAGGACGGTTCTCTAGACTGAATAATGTGCACCACTCTGCCGAGCTTGTCACCTGTTGTTACAGAAAGCATTGTCAGTGCACTTGAAAAAAATCTTACATAATCACAATTTCAAGTAAAGATAGAGCACAGAGGACGGCAGGTATGTGCTCAAGCACGGCGTGGAGGGGAAAAACCTACACTTCCTATAAGAACGGCCCTCAATTCCAAGCACTCGTAGAGCTTTTTGAGAACCTGAATGCTATTATTACATTTTTTCGTTTCCACCATTGAACTTAATATATATGGGAGGGTGTGTTCGCAAACAAAAAGTGGGGGGGGGGGGGGGGGGTGTGTGTGTGTGTGTGTGTGTGTGTGTTGTACTAATGCATTGCAAAAGTTCATTTCTTTAAGGCTGTTCCTAGTCATGTTTTTCCATCTTTCATGTATTTTTTTTCAGCACAGCTCTCTGTGGGCTGTTGGTACCAGGCATTTAAGTCAGATGGCCAAACCATCTCATCTGTTGCTCTCTCTAATGAATTGTATGACTGGTTTTAGTCCTTGCCTTCTAATTCCTTAAGCTACATGTATCACTTTAGAAATGAACCCCCCTACTCTTATCCAGAACATACTCAACCAACAAAGTGATATTCAAGAACTGTTTTAATCTCTGCATTACTTGCACATGTGGTGTAGCGGTCAAAAACAATATTGGCTCCCTGGTTGACCCAGCCTTAAATGGGAACTAGGAAGTCCTGGAAAATAAAAGTGGCTGACATGATGCTGACCACTTGGTCTATAAAATATAGTGTAGCCCTGCATGCCCAAACGCCTATAGGTGTGGACAACGGTCCTTTTACTTTTTACTTGAGTATAGATTTTCAAAACCGGCCGTTATATATAAACTTAGATCCAGTTATAAAAGTGCAACTTATACACGTTTAAATACGCATCGAGGCAGTTTTTTCCATCAAAACTGCTCTTGGCTCCTAGGTCAACCCGTCCTAATATGGGTACCAATTAATGTCCTGGTCAGTGCTATCGTGATGCTCATCACCCCGCAAGTACCAATTGCACTGTAATAATACAAGTCATGTATCATGTCCTACTCTAATAAATTTAGCATCTAGTTACACTTAATCATTTTCCATGATTTTATCATGAAGCGTAGAGTGTCTCCATGGTTTTGTCCTGCACTTTGCTGTGTCTGTTGGATCATTTGCCAGACATGGCAGTTCCCAAGTGCAGTTGTATGGAAATCCCTGGAGATGGTCACTGACGGTAGAGTCTGTACTTTTTGTGATGCTCCTGGCAGGCTATCAGCTGTTCTGCTGGGAGATACCAAGCTACATGGGATAACCTGGTGCAACAAAGCTGTTCCTCTCGACTTTTAACTTTGTCAAGAAACAGACCACACTCACCCTTAAAGAAAATTTCCCTGCCACCGGAAATTCAAACTGTCAACAAAGACCTATCAGGACACTAATCTTAAAACAACAAATGTTGGAATAATCATAAAAGAGGTGATAATATGGGGGTGATTGCAGTCAAACTAATACCAAGGAATCCCAGTGAAATGTGACTAAAAAGCTTAATGAAACAGGGAAACATTTTATTTCATTCACTACACATCAATCATTTTTTTTTTTTAAAGTTGCTCACGTCACCCCTTAAAGATCTGATTACTCTCCCCTCTGTTACTGTTGCGTAGTTCATTTCTTGTTACAGAAAGGCCACTGGACAAAACGTTTTGTGCACATTTTTCTGCTTCTCCATTTGGTTAAGCTTTTTTGGTCACATTTCACTGGAATAATCATAACACACTAGGACAGTAAACACCAATCTGTCAACACAACCTATCTTGAAATATTCATGACACACTAGTACAGTCAGCACACCAATACATCAATCCAACCTATCTCAGAATAATCATGCAAAACACTGGGACAAAAGCTTTCAACATAACCCATTTTGGTATAATCATTATGACACACTAGGACAGTAAGTACAACAAGCTGTCAACACAACCCATGCTGGCATAATCATGACAACACTAGGACAATGGGACAAAAGCTGTCAACATAACCCATTTTGGTATAATCATGACACACTAGGACAGTATAAGTACAACAAGCTGTCAACACAATCCATGCTGGCATAATCATGACAACACAAGGACAGTAAGCTTAACAAGCAGTCAATAAAAAAATCACTTTTGCACAATCATAACCGGAAAATAATCACAACTCACTGACAACACAACCCATTTTGTAATAAGGATATCAGGAAAAAAATATCAATCCCAACCAGAAACAGAACTAATCAGCTTCAAAATATCACACTCCAGAATGAAAAAATAAACATTATGGTTATAAAGCCTTCAGCAGCTAAACTGGAATAATCATGACACATTATGACAGTAAGCACAAGCAAGCAAGCCGCTGGAAATCCAATAAACTATACCTGGCAGCTTGTTGATGTCAAGACTCAGCTGTCTCTTCTCGTCATAAGTCATCGGCTTTGCATTGTCTTCGTCATCGCTGTCAAACGGTGGTACGGTCAGAGGAGGTGGTGGTAACACCGAGCGTTTGCGATTTGAGCCTGCCCTAGTAATGCTGTTGTTTCTTGATTTTTTCACAGCAGGTGACTTTTGTTTTGATTTCTTCTTGGGTTTTGGAGTGTCTTTTGTGAGAGCCGGCGGCGGCAAGGAAGCCACAGGCACCTGCTGTGGTGGATTCACATTGTCTATAAGTTCTTTCTTAATTTCTTCTTTCTTTTCCTTCTTGGGTTTCTTGGTCTTGTTTTCACTTTTGTCTTTCAATCGTTGCACATGTTCCCTGGTAAGTGAAGCTAGCTGCTCCTGGACTTTGGCCAGCTAATGAGGAAAGATCCAAAGCAAAGAAATAAACTGTTAATGCTATACAAAGTATTTTTTTTTAATACATAGACTTGCTTTAGTAAAATAAATTCTTGCAACAAATTTCTCAAATATTTTCATAGGGTCTGTGTCCTGATATTTAAATAATGCGGATAATTTATTGCGAGACATATTTCGTGGTATCTCAAAAGATGCATTACTACAGTTACCTGAGCTTATAATAAAGCACAAAAACCGAAACTCCACTAAAATACAAATGGCTTCCCTCGGTACACTGTCCATATATTTGATGCAAGTTCTTCCAGGAAAAAAAGAAAGTTCTTGCTGTCTTTTTTGA